GCATGGTCGTGGACGCCGCTCACAAGGCTGGCACCGCGATCAAATGCGTCCGGGGCGACTGTGACGCCCTCTGGACCAGCGCCGCCTTCAAGGAGTTCTGCGCCAGCATGGGGATCGCGATCGAGTACTCCCCTCCCGGCGTGCAGCAGTACAACGGCGTCGTCGAGAGCGCCATCCAGAGGTGCCTCAAGATCGGCAAGGCATCTCGCCGCGCTGCCCAAGAGATACTTGGCCCCGCTGGATTTTCTCGTATCCGCGGGCTGAGCGTTCGGGGAGACGAGCTCTGGGCGGAGTCCGCAAAAGACGCCGCGCAGAAGCTGAACCAGTCTGCATCTCCTTCCAACCCAGGGGGTGTCTCGCCGCAGGAGCTCTACACCGGGAAGAAACGGCCCTTCCGTTTGGTACCGTTTTTCCAGTACGGTTTCATGTGGGAGCGGCCGGCGACCAAGATGGACGACAGGGCCGTGCCGTGTTTTTTCCTGAATGGCGGCGACAACCACGCCGACATCACGGTCAAGGTGCTCNCGAGGTACTGTAGTGAACCCAAGTTGATACACTGGAGGGCTGCACTTGGATTCTTAGGATATGCAGTTAGGACTAGTTCTTTCGGGATTTCTTTTCAGAGGGGGACGGTTTCAGGATTTTCTTTGATCACGTTCGCCGACGCGGACTACGCCTCGCGTGCGGCGGATCGCAGGTCGGTTTCAGGGGGAGTGGTAATGTGTGCAGGGGGAGCGATCGCATGGTTTTCCAAGACTCAGAAGTGTGTGACTTTGTCCACCACGCAGGCAGAGTACGTGGCGATGGCGGATATGGGGAAGGAAATTCTTTTTCTGAGGCAGGTTTGGCGCTTTATGTTGCCGAAGGAGTTGCGGCCGTGCATTCCACTGTACGAGGATAATGAGGGTGCTATCCAGATCGCAAAACACCCGATCTCGAATTCCAACTCGAAGCACATCGACGTGCGGCATCACTTCCTCAGACAACTGGTAGATGAGAAGGAGGTAGAGATCATTCATGTAGCGTCGCAGTATCAGCATGCTGACTTCCTCACGAAGGCGCTACCTGAGAGGGATTTTGTGTTCCACAGGGACTACGTGATGAATTTGAAGTGAGAAGTCCCGGGGTCTTTTGTATTGTGTTTTTTATTGTTTGTGTGATTCTTTCGATTTGAGTTTCTTCTAAGGAGCTGATTTTCTACGAGTTTGGATTCAAGAATGACAGATGGATTTTCTCCAAGTGTTTCTGGCTTAATGGTTGGGAATGATCTCTAGCCGATTGAAATTCTAAGTGAGCAATCCCGGAGTTTCGTTTTTTTTTTTTTTTTTTTTAATGTGATTCTTTTGAATTGATTCTTCTGAGGATTTGTTTTTTCTGCGAGGTTGCATTCAAGATTGACCGATGGATTTTCTCTGAGTGTTTCTGGTTTAATGGTTGGGAGTAGTTTCGAACCGTTTGGAATTCTTATGAGTATTGTTTCTGGTTTAATGGTCATGGTGTTTTGGCAAAGACGAAGGATGAGAGGGATGGAATGCAGATCACTCATCTTTGATCTTAGGTATTTGGTATGAGAGGGTATGCATGTTTTAAGGTAGTTATTATATGAGTCCGGGTACAATCTTGCCAGTGCAGCGAGTAGGGGGGCTGTTGGATGTACTCACAGCATGACAGATTATTTCGAGTCAGAACTTTCCGAACAGATGGAGCGGGGAGATCCGGGGGTTCAACAGTTGGTATGGATTAGATTTGGTGGTACCAAATTTACCACATATT